ACTTGTGATACCTCCTCAAATGTTACTAGCCAGACCAGAAAAATGCATTATGTTTCTATAGATTCTATAAAACGAAAAAGATATATCCTGTTAGTATCGACTATGTATTACGATGATGCTGTTGACGAGGAAACTGGCAAACCGGAAATAATTATGGACTACAACAAAACAAAAGGAGGTGTCGAAATTATTGACAAAATGTGTGAATCCTGAATGTGTAAATCAGTTATCTTCAATAATTTCTAATAAAAATGTTGTAATTTGCTTCGACAGATTTTTTACAACACTTCTTCTTCTGGATACCATTATGTTTCCTGCTTTCGGTACATGCATGATTACCCGAAAAAATTTACCCAAATTTCATGGCAAGCTAAATCGAGGAGAATCGCAAGTAAAAGGTAATAAAACTAACTTTTATTGTACTAACTAACGGCCATAAGCCCGAAGAAACAACTGTGTGTAATAAACTGAAAGATAGTACAAAAACCAACATTTTTTGTCCTGTATCGATTGAATTCTATAACCGTTACATGGAAGTTGTAGATAGATGTGATTAAATGACATCTGTGTACGATCTCAATAAAAAATCCCAAAAATGGTGCAAGAAGGTTTACTACAAAGTTCTAATGATGGCAGTATACAATTCATATATTCTATAGACTGAGTTACATACCAGAAATAAGAAAATAGCCACAGTGATGAGTAATGTTGGTGACCATTTAGCTATATAAGAAAGATAAACGTACCAAATTTGCTTGTAAAATGTGTTTTGTTCCGATATGTAGCGATTGTTTTACCATATCATGTATAAACATTTATCATTCATGTATACTGTTGGGATTATATATCTCATACAGAAATACTGTTGAGATATATAATCCCATGAAATTAAAAAAAAAAAAATAAAAAAAAAAAATTATACTTTTAAATGCTCTAGTCTAGAATAACAAACTTAAGATATATATATATATATATATATATATATATATATATATATATATATATATATATATATATATATATATATATAATATATATATATATATATATGTATATATATAGCGAGTGTTTGCAACTTTAATTTTGTCGCTTCTCGCATCCAAATCGCCATAATTTCTTATCGGCCCAGTCTCCTTCTTGAAGACCTCTATTTTCCATTTCTATATGAATATTGGATATCCATTTCTTTCTTGGCCTTCCCCTTTTATTTATCTGTGTAGGTCTCCAGTTCTAAACCTTTCGTGGTATCCTTTCTTCATTCATCCGTCTCAGGTGTCCATACCATTTTAATTGTTTTTCTGCTATCGTATCCATTATTGTGTTCTTTACTTTCATTCTCTCTCTTATGTTTTCATTTCTTATGTGGTCAAACAAAGTAAACCCGGAACATCTTCTCCAGTACATCATTTTCGTTGAGAGGAGTTTTTGTGACATATTCTTGTTAAAGACCCACACTTCTGACCCATACGTCAGCACCGGCTGAATCATAGCCTGATATATATTTTTCTTTGTTTTCTTAGTTAAAGTTTTATTCCACAGGATCGGATGTAGTGTTTTTATCATGTTTTTTCCTTTTTCTATTTTTCTTGTTATATCTTTGTCGTCTCTCTCGTCTTCGCTTAGTGTAACTCCGAGATATTCGTACTGATCAACGTTTTTAATTAATCCGCTTTCTGTTTCCATGTCTTGACCGATGCCTCCTATATTCATGTATTGTGTCTTTTTGGTATTAACCTCTGACCTCTGATCCCCATTTTTTGAATTCGTCAATTAGTTTGTTTATCATGTACGTCATATCTTGTAGGTCCTCGGCAAGAACTACCTGGTCGTCTGCGAAGAGGATTGTGTATATAGGAGTGTCATTTACCCATATGCCCATTGGGCTGCATTTTCTCATCCAATATTTTAAAGCATTACCAAGATATATTTTAAATAGGGTTGGGGAGAGGCAAGAGCTCTGTTTGACACCCTTTGTTTGGGTGAAACCTTTGGAAATTTGGTTTCCAACCTTAATATAAGCTTGGTTATCTTGATATAGCTTTTTCACGCCATTTATATATACTGCATTTATACCTGCGTTTTCCAATGTTGTCCATAGTCCCTGCAGTGGCACGGAGTCAAACGCTTTACGGAGATCTATAAAAGTGGCATGAAGTTCTAGTCCTCTTGCTAATCTCTTTTCCGTTAGATGTTTGAGAGTAAATGCATTGTCGACACAAGATCTCCCTGGTCGGAATCCACTTTGTTCTTCGATCTCTGTGGATTCTTTCTCTATTCTGGCTTTCAGAACTCTTTCACACAGTTTGCCAGTGGATGACGTAATGCTGATACCTCGGTAATTACTGCAGTCATGTTTCCCTTTTTGTAGATGGAGTTTATGTACGGGACTTTCCAATCTCTTGGGATACTTTCTCCTTGTAGGCACTTGTTAAACATTTTACAAAGCAATTCTAATGTTATTGCAGTGGCATGTTTGATTTGAATAACTCGATAGGTAAATCACCCGGCCCAGGAGCTTTATTATTTTTCATTTTTTGTAATGCGTTTTTTATTTCATCTACGGTAATCATCGCCACTTCATTTAACCCCGTTTCAACTCTATCTATCTGTGTGTCTAGAAACTGTGTAAAATAAATTTGATAAATATATCAAATTTTAAAATAGACAAATCAGAAGTGAGAGGGTTAATGTTTAAATTATAGCTGGTAATAGCTCTCTAGGGGCCTGCGTAGCGCAAGCGGTAGTGTGCTTGCCTCGCATGCCGGTGGTCGTGAGTTCGAATCCTACCGCCGGCAAGAACAACTAGGCATTTTTAAAAAATGTCTATAGGCCCCAGGTCGACTCAGCCTGAATAAAATGAGTACCTTGGGTAAAACCAGGGGTAATAATAGGCGGTTGAAGCGTAGCACTGGCCATGTTACCTTCCTTGTATACCGTAGGCCCTAGATATAGCAGACTACCCTGCTATACTCCCAAAGCCGCGTGCGGTATAAAACGGGAGACTATTATTATTAATAGCTGTTCTTGTTAAAAATGTCTTCCAAATTATAACATCTCAAAACAGGTATTACCGCATTCATTTTAACAATTATTTTGCATAAATATACAAAAAAACATTTGGCCGATAATTCGCCCCACCTCACCTGATACTCGGTATTTTAAAATTGACTTAGGAGAGTTAAAATAACAGAATTTCGTGCTTCAAGTTTTTATTTTATTTTATTTTAAATTATAAAAATTGATATTGCGTTAATTACTATTAAACTGGGAATAAGCCACAATTAAAGATAAAAATACGTTTATTGACGTTTCAATTTCCACTTCGGAAATCGTTCTCAAAATACAAACAGTAAATTAAACAAATTTTGTTTTTTTGTTACATAGTGAAAAATTCTTCTAATAATTTAATTTTATCTGACTCATTTATATTGACAATTCAGACATACATTATGCATTTTAAAGTAGACGACTTTAAAATGATATTGCCAATATTGTTGAGTTGCGCTCCTGGGACGACTTTACTTATAAGATAGTTCATTCGATTACATGAAATCAACTTTAACTTGAGAATATCCGTCAGAAAAAATCATAGCATGTAATTCGTCTTTAAAAAGACAAACACATGACATGATGTCAGTAAAATTCTCCTGTTAGTGATTCCATAGTAAATTATGAGGGAAAACCAGGAAAAAACCTCATAATACTATCCCGACATTGTAAGTATTTGTTCGTGAATTTAGTTTACCTTCAACAAACATCAAAATTCTGATTTTATATGTTACGTTATTTAAAAAACATAAATGATGTATCCTCTATATGTTACTGACTTACTAATACTGGTATTTTCTTATTAATAACTTCTTCTTTCAATATTGGCAACCAGATCCTACTACATTCTGCCGAAGAATTTGCGACACAATTGGCCTCATTTAACATAATTAGAGCCGCTTCTTTGATTTTTCTTTTTTTACCATCCGTTTCTTTTAGGACTACATTTGAATTACTCCATTGAACCCTATGTTCATTATCCCATGCGTGTTTACAAATTTGAGATCTATCAAATTCTTTATTTTTAATATAAGATTGATGTTCACTTATTCTAACATTTAATGGCCTTGATGATTCACCTAAATAAAACTGATCGCATTCACAAGGTATTTTATAAATGCAATTCTTTGTCCTTTCTTGTTCATTGTTAGGTTTGGTTTTGGACAAAATAGATCTCAACGTGTTTGTTGTTTTGAATGTTGTTGAAATGTTGAATTTATTTCCTATCCTTTTAAGTTTTTCTGATAGTCCTTTTATGTACGGTATTGTTATTTTCCTCATATTATTCCTTGTGTATGCTGTAGGATCTCGTTCTAAGTTGTTCTGTTCTATTCGATCGATTGTTGAAAATTCCTTATTTATAAACGATAAAGGATAATCATTTTTTAATAAAACAGATGTTAACAAATGTTTCTCCTCCAAGAACGAATTTTCATTAGAACAAGTAATTTTGGCTCTATCGTATAAGGATTTAATTATTCCCTTTTTTACATTAATATTGTGATTTGATTTGAAATTTAAATATCTATTGGTGTGTGTTGGTTTTCTATACACCTGAGTCTCATATCCAGTATCGTTCTTAGAGATTAAAACATCCAGGAAAGGTAGCGTGTTATTATATTCCTTTTCCATGGTAAATGTTATGTACTGTTTGTATTTTGAGAACGATTTCCGAAGTGGAAATTGAAACGTCAATAAACGTATTTTTATCTTTAATTGTGGCTTATTCCCAGTTTAATAGTAATTAATTTACAATGCCACAAGAAAATAGCTTCAGAACAATATTGATATTGCGTGTTTCAAATAATTTGTGTAACATTGTATAAGCCACTTTAATATACAATTTAAATACACGTAAAATCGAAGCGTGAAACCTGAATGTAGTGAATAAATTGTTCAACTATTTTTACTTGATGTAGATACTATATCGGATAAGACAAATAAATAATTCGATGTCGTTGTTCGTCTCCAGGGGCAAACTCAGCGCCGGAACGTACTGCGATCGGCTATTAGAGGGATGTTCAAGAAGGTCTTGTCGGATCCAGAGTCCCAATTATCCGGGGATTTACCCTCGGAATGTGAGCTGCCAATACAGGGTGCGCGAAAGAAACGTTCCGCCGGGAAAACACGCACTGATCGCCGTCAGACAGGCCAATTTCCATTATAAGGAGCACGTCGCCAAATTTGACGGTGGTGACAGAGGGATAAGGTAAGCGTGAAATGTGATGCTTCTTAATGTCTCTTTAAAGAAATTAAATATATATCAGAGGTCACGAATATTCTTTCCGTGGTTTAAAAAAAAACAATCTCACAAAACATAATCTTTATACGTAGAATAAATTTACATTTTAATAAGTTATTTTGGTTAATATTAAATATATTTATCTTACGCAAATCAGACTGCATCTACGTTGTTTGCTTACCAATACTGCTGGCTACAACCGAATTCGGTATAACTGAACGAATAATGTAAACCTGCCATTAGCAAAAATTTAATATCAATTCCAACAAAGATTCAACTTAAAAAAAATATATTTTGAATACTTTCTCCTTTATTTTTTTATTCCTCGTGAAGATGAATTTGATGTTGTGCCACGGTTTACTCGGTTAATTACATAGGTCAACAAGAAATCTGGTCTTTAGTGTTTTTCTGGCAATATTTTTTAAGCAACCTGCTTTTTTATAGCTTAAAATCCGTATACGATATATGGTTAAAGTAATTAAATTCTATAATCACAATCATGGTTTTATTTACAGTAGGTTACTTGAAATAATAACACAGTTTAGTAATGTAGGTTTCACTAGTCAGATGGAATTGGTTTATACTTTATTTCTTTGTATTTATATATTTTTTCTTTGAAGATTCTTGTGTAGTTTTCCTGCAAAGAGTCGCTTGAAGACTGACCAACAGTAGTTCCCCATCATGTTGGTGATTTAGGGGCCCTGGTAGCCGCTAATTAAGTCAAAATATGTTATTATAACCTGCTCATATGGTTGGGTTTGGTTGGTGATTGTTTATTTTTATAATTTTGACCATTGTCGTCTGTCACAAGTGTAGGTGATGATTTTGATTCGAATAAATCTAATCTGACTACGTCTTAATCTGTAAGTTTTGTGTTTTGTAGTGTCGACAAAGATTTTGGTTTACCTACTGTGAATACGATCCTATAACTGCTGAGAATAATTTTATTTTGACAGTTTTTTAGATGTTCTTTTGTTTCATCTTTGTATTTTATAGTTATTTTATTTTAAAACTTATCCCAACACAACTAACAATTACAAGAATTATTTTTGCATAAAAATTGGTTCCATTCAATATAACAATCGACCTTGTATTTTGCAGAGTTTTGGAGCGGTAAAAATTTTCGTTGAGAAATCCTTTATATATTTTTTATACCTACATATCTTTTGTGACTTACTTTTATGCACGTATAGTTCAAAATATCAATGCAAAACTTTATTACTTAATAAATTTTCAGAACTTGGGATCAGTGCAATATGATGCAAGACTATCTAGAAATTTTAGATGGATGGGGACAAACTGCCACAACTTTAGCTCATCTATGCAGTGGAGAAACCATTCCAGAAATTGTCAGCAGTGGTCCTGAACTACTAGTGAAGTTTCACACATCCCCATTCGGTAACCCCTTTCATCCTCTACCAATATCATATTTACCAGGATTTGAGTTAGAAGTGGAGGTATAGTTTTATTTATTTTTCGTAATTTAACATTTAACAAAAACTATTATATCTATCTATTAAATATTTTTATTTTGCAATTTATTTACAATAAAATAGCCTTGTTTTGGGTAAAAAGATCATTAAATTATTGAGTGGTATTGTTTACGAAGAATTCGTGTAGTTTTTATGACAGTTTTAGTTTCAGTATCCAGATTTTGTTAGACTTTAGTTTTTCATTAAATTGCTCAGAAATTATTTTGGTTTTTATTTGATCGTTGAGCATTTTCGTATTTGGTTTTCTTATTAAGTTTTGTTAGTCGAACTTGTATTTGTACTACGACTGGATTGTGATAAGTCTCACACTTAAAATATTTATAAAAATAATTGACAAAAAAATTATTAAAACTCTTTAATATGAAATAAGTGACACACAATTTGGCTTTAGAAATAGTAGGGTCACAGGAGACTTGAATATTCTGACACAAAGATGTATGGATATGAATGAGGACATGAAATTATGCTATATAGACTTTAAAAAGGCATATGTAAAGGTACTTCATAAAAAGGTTGGAGATATATTAAAAAGCAAAAATATTGACAGTCGTAATATGAAAATTATATCCAATCTATATTGAAATCAAACTACCAAGGGAAGAAATGATAATCAGAACACCTGAAATATTAAAATATGTTCGCCAGTGTTGCCCACTACTGTTGTCCTCACTACTTTTCATTGTCTACAGAGAATTCTGTCATGAACGCGGGCTGAAGATGAATTTAAAGAAAACTAAATGCATGGTTATGATTAAATAAGCAAAGGGAATCATCAAATAGATTACTAAAGATACTGTTATTGAGAGTGTGAATACCTACACATTAAAACTACGCCTAAGGAAGCTTTGGTGTTACTTGTTCCCTACTTTTCTTTATGGCTTAAAAGCGTGGACATGTAAGTACTTATAATTAAGTTGGCAGCCTTTGAATTTGTTTTGTTACACAAGAATCCTGCGAATACAGTGCATTTAAATAATACCAATCGTGACAGTAACTAGAAGGATGGGAAATTAAGTAGAAATAATATTTACCATGTTACTACAAGTAGAAGCCAACCATATTAATATCAACATCATCCAAGTCTATGCTCCCACTGCAGAAAAAGGGAAGAAAGAAGCAATTGAGTTTTATCAGAACATCAACAGTATCGTACAGCAAACTCCTCAACAGGAAGATCATTATGGGTGATTTTAATGCTAGAATTGGAACTGGAGATAAGACAGAGTGCATTGGAGTACATAGACTTGGAGTCAAAAACGAGAGAGGAGATCTCTTTGAAAAATTGGCAGAAGACTCAAAAGTAGTTGCTACTAACACATTCTTCCAATTACCACCTCGCAAGCTGTACACGTGGAAATCCTCTCAGACATGGGAGAATTATTGGGAATCAAATAGACTACATTTTAGTAAATAAAAGATTCCTAAACAGCTTTACATTTGTCAAGACTTATCCTGGAGCAGACTTAGAGACGGACCCCCATCGGCGTAGCTAGCCTCAGTTTTCAAGGGGGTCCTGGGCCCCCCTTGTATGGTTGATTAAAAATTAAATTTTTTTTATTTGCCGTGCAATGAAAAAATAAATAGAAGAAATGCGTTATAATAGTATACTGGTTTTAGTTTTTTAATATACCTAATACATAATATAATATATACACTGCGATAAATATTTATAAAAACAAAATATTAACAAAATATTACTTACAAGAGAAACTTCCTACTCTGTTCACTAAAAGAATTTACAACACTCTCTATGTCTACATCTTTTTCTATATACAACAAAGCCAAATCTGAATATCTATCTTGAGTCATTGTCGTTCTTAACCAGTTAAAAATCCGCCTCATGGCAGAAAAAGACCTCTCGCACGTTGCGCTTGAAATAGGCAAAATAATCGATACTTTAAAAAGTTGGTACAGGTTGGGATATGTTTTTTCTGAATCAATTAAGTTTTTTTTATATATATTCATAACAAACAGTTTCGTTAGATTGTAAAATACAATTTTTTAAAACGGTCATTTCTGCACTTAAGGCAAAAGTGTTGATATTTAAAATTTTGCGATATTGTTCAATGAATTTCTCTGAACACTCAATATCTAACTGAAAAAAATGATCTACTGAATTGGCAAGCGCCATACTTTCTGGTGAGAACCTTTTGTTTAGAAATTCTCTTACAGTATCAATAATCCGGTAAAAAATGTTTGCCCTTCAATACTCAATGACTCCTATATTAGCTCTGGAGCATGTGGTGTCTATCAAACCCAATCCTACAGTCGTTTCAGTGACGAAGTCAACGAGCTTGCTACTGGCTTGCTTTTTTCTTTTGGCTGACGAAATTTCCAATGAAATTTGGTATTCTGTGGCAAAGTTCGATATGTTTGGATGAAGATGGGTATAATATTGTTCATTTCTCATTCCATCTAACGAAGTCATAACACTTTTAATAACCTTAACTGCTTTCCCCAGAGTTACACCTTTCTCCTGGAGGCTCTTTGATAATATATTTAAAATGTTTAACACCTCATCCAATACAAAAAGATGAATTATAAATGATGGTTGTTTAATGCTGGATAATATCCCAACTGCTGTAATTGACTGTTTATTATTTGTATGAGCAACTTCGTTTTTCAGTGTTGTGACGATTCCCTCGAAACATGTTTTAACAGCGTGGCAAGCCATATATCGACACACCCAACGAGTATCTGACAGAGTTTTCAACTCCCTGGGAACAATATTCATGTTACTACTCTATTTTATTATCGCTCGCTGTTTTATTGTTTGCTGTACACCACGCTGTACACTGTCAAGCCACGTCAAAGTATCTAACTGAAACTGACTGATCTTTGTACCTTGAACCCGTGTGGGTGAAACACGAATCGCACAGTATTGTATTCCGATAGCTATTGTATAGGCGGTTGGTACGTTAATTTTTTTATTGTTTCTTGTTTACATTGTATTTGCAATTTTTTCTATTACAATATTTCAAGGGGGCCGCAGGGCCATCAGAGGGGGGGGTCCTGGCTCCCTCCTAGCTACGCCATTGCGGACCCCGTTCCACTGGTGGGAGTATTTCGAGTCAAACTCAAAACAGTGCAAAAAAGGAAAGCACAATCATACGACCATACGATAAGCGACGTTAAACAAGCATGTGAATGCAATTAGAGACGAATCGAACGAAGAACAAACGATCAAACATATTACAGAAATAGTGCAAAATGTAAAGGATAAACACTTAAAGGCAGATAGATTAATAAAGAAAAAATCATGGATGACAGATGAGATCTTGAAACTAATGGACTAAAGAAGAGAAGCCAAAAATGGTCCAGATAAATATAAAATCATAAATATATGAATAAGAACGAAAATCAGAGAACCGAAAGAAAAAGAAGCAAGGGAAAGATGCGAAGAAATTGAGACTGTTCAGTCAAAGTACGATAGTTACAATGTACAGAGGAAAGTTAAAGAACTTACCAAGACTAAGACTAAGACTAAAACGAACGCAGAAGAGATCCTCTATGTGACGCATTCCTCACTATTATTTTCGAGTGCTATGGTGTGAACTTGTTTTCTTTCTAGTTTTGTTTTTATTACAATAATTATTTCTGTTATGTATTTGCACTGTTCTACTTGATTTATTTATTTTCTTTTGAATAATATAACGACTTCCTTAGCTCTTGTTTCTTTTGATACGTTTTTACAGAATAAAAGTACTAAAAGTTAGCTAGGTTACTTAAACACAGTCTGCTCCCAGTTAGAATATATTGAGTTTCGACTGGTTTGATATATATATATATATATATATATATATATATTACAGGATCCAATTTGTAAATAGAATACATCTTGGAGACGGCTATCGCCGTATTCCCGTCCTCCTCCACCAATCCTCTCGGTCCAAGGCATGCTCCTCCTCCAAACCTCTCGATTCCATTGCTCTTCTAATACCTTCATTCCATGAGCGTCGAGGTCTACCTCTTTTTCTTCTACCAGGGGGCTTCCATCTGTGAAGTTTTTGGGGCCAACGTTCGTCAGGCACTCTTAACAGGTGTCCAAAACCATTTTAAACCTCTTCTTTCTATTCTGTCTATGACCGTATCTGTAGCATTCATCTGATTTCTTATAGATTCGTTGGTTTTCCTTTCCAGCCTTGATGTTCTAGCACTTCTCAAATAATCCATTTCAACTGCCAACAATCTTCTTTTCAGGTCTGCATTAATTGTCCATACTTCAGAGCCATAACAAAGAACTGATTCAACCATCGTTTGCCCTATTCTTTTTTTGTTCCTTTTGGAAATGTTGCGATCCCACCATAAGGAGTTCAAACATCCTACAATTTTACGTCCCTGATTAATTCGGTGTTTAATTTCGGTTTCACCCAAGCCGTTCTTATCAATGAATGCACCTAAATATTTAAATTTTTCCACTTGTGTGATTTCCACGTCCTCGTCTATCAACACTTCAAACCTTGCATCTGAATTGATAACTAGATATTCCGTTTTCTTCATGTTGACTTTTAACCCCCATTTTACATATTCTCTGTATAGACGCTTTATCATAAATTTTAGATCATAAGAATCTTGAGCTAGAACGACTTGGTCATCCGCAAAGTTCAGGGAGAACAGTACGTCATTTCCTATTGGGATTCCCATTCCCTGGCAGTGGTTTTTCCAATTTTGAAGGGCTGCCTCAATATATAAATTAAACAGTAAAGGTGACATACTGCATCTTTGTCTCAGTCCTTTAGTTACTTTTATCGGCTTTGATAGTCTATTTCCGATTTTTTGGTAAGTGGTGTTATCCCTGTATACTTCTGTGATTATTCCTAAAAGGTGTGGACTAATGCCAAGTTGTTGTAAAGCTTGCCACAATTTAGGCCTTGGTACTGTATCATACGCTTTTTCTAGATCGATGAAGGATAGATGTACTTCGTTACCAACCGCTATTCTTTTTTCTATTAATTGTTGGAGTATAAACAAGTTTTCAGTGCAAGATCTACCAGGCGTAAATCCGCTTTGGTCTTCGCTAATTAGATGTCCTACATCATCTTGTATTTTTCTATTTATTATCTTTCCAAACAATTTGCCGAAAGTAGGTAGGACACTCAATCCTCTGTAGCAGTTAGGATCTTTTCGATTACCCTTTTTAAAGATGGACACTTGGTGAGCGGTTTTCCATTCAGATGGTATTTTAATTTGTTGGCAGCATTGATTCATTAGAAAAGTTATTCGTTCGATTAGGCGTGGACCTCCTGCTTTAAGTAACTCTACAGCTATATTGCCAGATCCTGAAGATCGCCCGTTTTTCATTTTAATTAGCGCAGTACGGACCTCGTTGCTGGTAGTATTAATGTTACTATTTGTTTGTCTCTCCATACTGTATTCTTCTCCCATATATTCCAATCTGGACTCTTGGAGTAAATTTTTATAGTGATTTTCCTATTCTTCTATAGAAATTAAGTTGCTTAATGAGTTATGGGTGTTCTTCTTTAGATTAGTGATAGTTCTCCATGATTCCGTTGTCTGAGAACCACCCATTAAATTTTCAACTTGGACACATTTTTGTTCCCAGAAATTGTTTTTTGCTTCTTTTATTTGCTGGCGTACTTCTCCGTTTTTCATTTGATATGATACTCTATTGCTAGATGTTTTATTTGTTAGCCATTTTTTATATAATTTGTTATTTTCTTGTATCATTTCTTTTACGTTTTCTGTCATCCATGGTGGTTCGTGGTGTTTTTTGTCGTTGTTCTCTGTTCCTAATACTTCATAAGCAATTTTTTTTATTATCATTTTGAGGTTATTGTATTCTTGTTCTACATCCATATTTCTTTCCATCTCATTTAGTTCCCTTTCTAATCTGGTTTTATCATTATATTTTTAAGAATGTTTTAATATAATAGAAATAACTTATGCATGATTTAAATTCTTACTGTTTTCAGATACTTTATGTGAACAAAGAATCTCCAACTTATATCGAACATGGCAAGAAGTGCGAATTTGTTGTTACGTCGTTTGACAACCCATCGGGGTATTTAAAGAACCCTTTACATTCATTACCTCCCAACACTACCTGTCATTACCACTTCAGAGGACAATCCAGAGATATTATATGGATTTCGTTCATCAAATATCATGTAATTAACGAACGGCTCACTGACTTTAATACAGGGGATTGTAATGTTGAGCTGCAAATTTGGGACGGTGATATAAAAAGTCAAAATACTGTCCCACTTATGGGCCAATTTTGCAAAGATGATAAACCAAGGTTGTGTGATCACACGTTGCTCAAAAACTCGTCAAGAATTACAAGGCCATGTGGTCTCACAGAAAGCTACGTTAGCACAAACTCAGACTTGACAATATCGCATTCTATTAAGTATGGAAGTGTTTTATACCCAGTAAATTTTGTTTTACGATACGAATTTGTTGATTTGTCCCAAGAAGGTATACAAATGACTAAGAATCCCTGTGATAGACTTTTTAGAACGCCAAACGGTCGGTTTTACTCTCCGAAAATTACTTTTCTATTCGGAAGGGGAGGTAAAGAAGATCTAACGTGTACATATCAGTTCGAATCAAACGATCAACAAAGGCTCAAAATAACTTTTAACAAAGCTCAATTTGGCTCGAAAACGTGTCACTCATTTTATGACCAAGACGCTAACAGATGGGAGTGTAAGTCTCAAAAATCGAATAATGGCGTGGCCTTTATTCAAATATCCGAATTTCCGTGGAAGGATATCGAATTGTACAGAGATTGTATTTGTCACAATATTTCTGAACCGTTCACTGTAATTACCAAAACATCTAGTAAAGTCGTTATAAAATTTGTTATTAAGAAAATGAGAATTACAGAGGATTACAATAATTATTTCTTTGATGCAAATTTTGAGTTTATTCCAAATGACAACAATTGTCTCAATCCGTGGAATAATAGGCGACTGAGAGGTTCCAGCGGAGAAATAACAATTCGTAATAGTGAACACAATTTAGATAAACCAGAAAGTATTAGTTTTAAAAACCAAAGTATAAGATATTGTCTTCAACAGCCGTGGCTGATAGAGCCGGAAGACGAAGGAAATTTTATCTATTTAAAAATAAAAGGCTCAAAAAAGAGAGACTTAAGGCTGTGCCCTAGCAAAAACAGAATACTGATATATCCTGCCGGTAGAACTGACATCGTCCATGTAATATGTCCTTATTTTGATGGAAGCGAAGATGTCGTAGAAATGTTTTCAGAAGGTTGGATTTTGTATAGTTATAAAAAGACGCAAAATAAAAACTCCAGAAGCTTCATTATAGAATTTTCTAGAAAAGAAAGTGGAAATTTTGCAGTAACGTGGATGGAGGTTTCGAAAAACCCTGCCCTCACGTTGCCTACGTCCATGTTGATGATAGCACCACCGGAATGTCCACATAGGTAAGTCTTATTCAAGTTAATAAATTATTTGTAAAGAACTATTTAAAAATCAACATTTCTAGTTAATTTTTTTATATTATTTTTTCATTTATTGTCCCGTAATGTTCATGTTTTTTTATAGCTTCTTCTTTTCAAGTCGTGGAATAAACCGCAACAATTTGGTTTGCGACGAGTCACGATCAAACAGTACGCAAGCGGTTTTTTCTGCCGTACACATTAACGGATATACCGTACGCATAAGCCACGCGAAAGAAGTACAGACTAACACACGTATGCGGTGAGAAGCCACGCATATGCTTGGGCACTCAAACCATTCGCGCTCAGAGCATTTGTTGAAATTAGAAATCACCGCATATGTATGCGTGCTCAAGGCGCTCCATCCATTCGTGAAAAATGTCTGATTTGAATGAAAAAATGACTGAGAAGCTTCTTATGGTTAGTTCCGCGTTTGTTGTTATTGGTTCATTAAAAAAAAACAAAGGAAAAATAGGCAATGGTGGACGACGCATTTATTTAAAAGAAGAACCCTACAAATGAAGTCAGATTTATTAGTAGATTTGGCGTTAGAACGTAATACTTGACAATTTCAAAATTTTAAATGTATGTCAGTAGAAAACTTTGAACGCCTTTTAAATGATACAGGCCTCGTAATAAGAAAAATGACACAGTTTTAAGAAAAGCCATACCTGTTAAGGAACGTTTACTGACAACATTAAGATTTCTGGCCACAGGGAGCACTCTGTATTTTTTTGTCTCAAGAAATTGGTTTTTTTTATTATTGTTTTAATGATGCACTACATTTGTATATTTATACACTAATTTTTATTTTTAACTGGCATCTCAAAAACCTTGGTAGCGCCTTTTTGTTTGCAGCATTAAAAGTTTGACGAAAAAGTTGCAAAGTTTTGTTAAAACCGCAATGCTTCATCTTCCATAACAACCGAAATAACCTATAAAACTTACTTACTGTAAATACACAATACCTTTTCCTGTACCCAAGGACTACATTTGCTCCTTTGAAACCTAAAAGACCCAAGTAAGCTGCTCATTTTCTTCTTCACAACTGCTGAATCTATATCAAGATTTCTTGAAACCGACTTCCATGCATCTTCTTTCTTTGTTTTTGAATAAT